TCTCTTATGGTATTTCTTTGACTACAATAGGAGATGAAACTTCGGCTTCTGCAGCAACCTCGCCTCTCCTTGTCCATTTATATAATAGGAGCATAGCTTCGGCTCCGGCGGCTACGCCGCCTCGCCTCGCCCCGTCTTTACGGAACAATTGTCAAAAATAAAACTTCATTTCTGAGGGGTAGTTAGAGAACGAGCCCCAGAAAATGAAGCTAATTATATTGTATGACGTGGGGGTGAGGCGGGAAATCTGAAGAAACCGAAACGTCATCCGGAAGGGTAGTAACAGGGCCGAAGCCGAGGCTATTTCTCTTATGGTATTTCTTTGACTACAATAGGGGATGAAACTTCGGCTTCTGCAGCAACCTCGCCTCTCCTTGTCCATTTATATAATAGGAGCATAGCTTCGGCTCCGGCGGCTACGCCGCCTCGCCTCGCCCCGTCTTTACGGAACAATTGTCAAAAATAAAACTTCATTTCTGAGGGGTAGTTAGAGAACGAGCCGCAGAAAATGAAGCTAATTGTATTGTATGACATGGGGGTAAGGCGGGAAGGCTGAAGAAACCGAAACTTCATCCGGAAGGGTAGTAACAGGGCCGAAGCCGAGGCTATTTCTCTTATGGTATTTCTTTGACTACAATAGGGGATGAAACTTCGGCTTCTGCAGCAACCTCGCCTCTCCTTGTCCATTTATATAATAGGAGCATGGCTTCGGCTCCGGCGGCTACGCCGCCTCGCCTCGCCCCGTCTTTACGGCACAATTATTGTCAAAAATAAAACTTCATTTCTGAGGGGTAGTTAGAGAACGAGCCGCAGAAAATGAAGCTAATTGTATTGTATGACATGGGGGTAAGGCGGGAAGGCTGAAGAAACCGAAACTTCATCCGGAAGGGTAGTAACAGGGCCGAAGCCTAGACTATTTCTCTTATGGTGTTTCTTTGATTAAAATTGGTGATGTAACTTCGGCTTCTGAAGCCGACTCGCCTCTCCTTGTCCATTTATACAATAAGCGCATAGCTTCGGCTTCGGCGGCTACGCCGTCTCGCCTCGCCCCGTCTCTACGGCACAATTGACAAAAACAAAACTTCATTTCTGAGGGGTAGTTAGAGAACGAGCCACAGAAAATGAAGCTAATTATATTGTATGACGTGGGGGTGAGGCGGGAAAGCTGAAGAAACCGAAACGTCATCCGGAAGAGTAGTAACAGGGCCGAAGCCGAGGCTATTTCTCTTATGGTATTTCTTTGACTACAATTGGGGATGTAACTTCGGCTTCTGCAGCCGCCTCGCCTCTCCTTGTCCATTTATACAATAGGAGCATAGCTTCGGCTTCGGCTGCTACGCCGCCTCGCCTCGCCCCATCTCTACGGTACAATTGTCAAAAATAAAACTTCATTTCTGAGGGGTAGTTAGAGAACGAGTCGCAGAAAATGAAGCTAATTATATTGTATGACATGGGGGTGAGGCGGAAAAGCTGAAGAAACCGAAACATCATCCGGAAGGGTAGTAACAGGGCCGAAGCCGAGACTATTTCTATTGTGGCGTTTCTTTGATTAAAATTGGGGATGTAACTTCGGCTTCTGCAACCGTCTCGCCTCCACTTGTCCATTTATACAAAAGAAGCATAGCTTCGGCTGCTACGCCGCCTCGCCTCGCCCCATCTACGGTACAATTGTCAAAAATAAAACTTCATTTCTGAGGGGTAGTTAGAGAACGAGCCCCAGAAAATGAAGCTAATTATATTGTATGACGTGCGGGGTGAGGCGGGAATCTGAAGAACCAAACGCTCCCGCACAGGTAGTAACAGGGCCGAAGTACATAAAAACCCCCCCCTTATTTCTCTTAGTAGCTCATTCTCTTTGACTAAATACGGGACCTGACAACTTCGGCTTCTTGCAACCGTCTCGCTCCACTCTGTCCATTTATACCACAAAGAAGATAGCTTCGGCTTCGGCGCTTACGCCGCCCTCGCCCTCCGCTCCCCGTCTCTACGGCACAAACTCTCGTCGAAATAAAACTTTCATTTCTGAGACGGTAGTTACAGAAGGAACCCCAGAATTGAAGCTAATCTAGTCATTGTATGACTTGGGCGGTGACTGCGGGAGAATCTTGAAGAAACCGGAAAACGTCATCCCGCGCGAAGCATCAGTACAGCGGTCCGAAGGCCGACGGCTATTTCTCTTATGGTATTTCTTTGACTACAATAGGGGATGAAACTTCGGCTTCTGCAACCGTCTCGCCTCCACTTGTCCATTTATACAAAAGAAGCATAGCTTCGGCTTCGGCGGCTCCGCCGCCTCGCCTCGCCCCGTCTCTACGGCACAATTGTCGAAAATAAAACTTCATTTCTGAGAGGTAGTTAGAGAAGGAGCCCCAGAAAATGAAGCTAATTATATTGTATGACGTGGGGGTGAGGCGGGAAATCTGAAGAAACCGAAACGTCATCCGGAAGGGTAGTAACAGGGCCGAAGCCAAGGCTATTTCTCTTATGGTATTTCTTTGACTACAATAGGGGATGTAACTTCGGCTTCTGCAGCCGCCTCGCCTCTCCTTGTGCATTTATACAATAGGAGCATAGCTTCGGCTTCGGCTGCTACGCCGCCTCGCCTCGCCCCATCTCTACGGTACAATTGTCAAAAATAAAACTTCATTTCTGAGGGGTAGTTAGAGAACGAGCCGCAGAAAATGAAGCTAATTATATTGTATGACATGGGGGTGAGGCGGAAAAGCTGAAGAAACCGAAACATCATCCGGAAGGGTAGTAACAGGGCCGAAGCCGAGACTATTTCTATTGTGGCGTTTCTTTGATTAAAATTGGGGATGTAACTTCGGCTTCTGCAACCGTCTCGCCTCCACTTGTCCATTTATACAAAAGAAGCATAGCTTCGGCTTCGGCGGCTACGCCGCCTCGCCTCGCCCCCTCTCTACGGTACAATTGTCAAAAATAAAACTTCATTTCTGAGGGGTAGTTAGAGAACGAGCCGCAGAAAATGAAGCTAATTATATTGTATGACGTGGGGGTGAGGCGGGAAATCTGAAGAAACCGAAACGTCATCCGGAAGGGTAGTAACAGGGCCGAAGCCGAGGCTATTTCTCTTATGGTATTTCTTTGACTACAATAGGGGATGAAACTTCGGCTTCTGCAGCACCCTCGCCTCTCCTTGTCCATTTATATAATAGGAGCATGGCTTCGGCTCCGGCGGCTACGCCGCCTCGCCTCGCCCCGTCTTTACGGCACAATTATTGTCAAAAATAAAACTTCATTTCTGAGGGGTAGTTAGAGAACGAGCCGCAGAAAATGAAGCTAATTGTATTGTATGACATGGGGGTAAGGCGGGAAGGCTGAAGAAACCGAAACTTCATCCGGAAGGGTAGTAACAGGGCCGAAGCCGAGGCTATTTCTCTTATGGTATTTCTTTGACTACAATAGGGGATGAAACTTCGGCTTCTGCAGCAACCTCGCCTCTCCTTGTCCATTTATATAATAGGAGCATGGCTTCGGCTCCGGCGGCTACGCCGCCTCGCCTCGCCCCGTCTTTACGGCACAATTATTGTCAAAAATAAAACTTCATTTCTGAGGGGTAGTTAGAGAACGAGCCGCAGAAAATGAAGCTAATTGTATTGTATGACATGGGGGTAAGGCGGGAAGGCTGAAGAAACCGAAACTTCATCCGGAAGGGTAGTAACAGGGCCGAAGCCTAGACTATTTCTCTTATGGTATTTCTTTGACTACAATAGGGGATGAAACTTCGGCTTCTGCAGCAACCTCGCCTCTCCTTGTCCATTTATATAATAGGAGCATAGCTTCGGCTCCGGCGGCTACGCCGCCTCGCCTCGCCCCGTCTTTACGGCACAATTGTCAAAAATAAAACTTCATTTCTGAGGGGTAGTTAGAGAACGAGCCCCAGAAAATGAAGCTAATTATATTGTATGACGTGGGGGTGAGGCGGGAAATCTGAAGAAACCGAAACGTCATCCAGAAGGGTAGTAACAGGGCCGAAGCCGAGGCTATTTCTCTTATGGTATTTCTTTGACTACAATAGGAGATGAAACTTCGGCTTCTGCAGCAACCTCGCCTCTCCTTGTCCATTTATATAATAGGAGCATGGCTTCGGCTCCGGCGGCTACGCCGCCTCGCCTCGCCCCATCTCTACGGTACAATTGTCAAAAATAAAACTTCATTTCTGAGGGGTAGTTAGAGAACGAGCCGCAGAAAATGAAGCTAATTATATTGTATGACGTGGGGGTGAGGCGGGAAATCTGAAGAAACCGAAACGTCATCCGGAAGGGTAGTAACAGGGCCGAAGCCGAGGCTATTTCTCTTATGGTATTTCTTTGACTACAATAGGGGATGAAACTTCGGCTTCTGCAGCAACCTCGCCTCTCCTTGTCCATTTATATAATAGGAGCATGGCTTCGGCTCCGGCGGCTACGCCGCCTCGCCTCGCCCCGTCTTTACGGCACAATTGTCAAGAATAAGACTTCATTTCTGAGGGGTAGTTAGAGAAGGACCCGCAGAAAATGAAGCTAACACGCATTTTTACATTCTATGACGGGTCTGGAGCGGGAAACCTCGTATTTTTAGTTGGAAATCATTGTGTAACAGACTATAATGTTTTAGTCTCCTGATACATTACGGTTTTTGTGAAAACTCGCGACACAACATGTTTAGTAAGGAGATGTTGATTAGGACGACATAATACGTTAGAAAGTGACTGTTATCAATTTTACACCCTTTTGCGATTCTTGGATCCTGGTAGAATTAACTTCGGGCGGTACATATGATTTTACCTATAAATTTTAATCTCGTTATGCTTCAGTGATCCTCATAGGTAGGATTAATGAAAGGAAACACTGCCTGAAGTCTTCAAAAAGTAAATCATCAAACGTAGTCATTTTTCCATTCTGCTCTCCTAATACAACCTGTTTTTTTTACGACAGATTTTAGTATCAGGGGGATTAGAACCGAAGGACGAATTTAAATTGTAAAAAGTGAGGTCTTACCGTCGCAGTCATTTCCTTTTCCCCTAAGCAGTCTAGAAATCGCCGAAACGCTTGGCGCCGTACTCCTATCACAGATGCCCTCCTTCACCAAGCGATCGCGTATCTCCCAACTGAAGATCGAAGGATTCTCCTTTTTGTACTGTTCAATGCGGGTCTCGATTTCCGGTGTCGCCAGTCGCGGCTTGGAGCCGCCGATTACTCCCGGACGGATCGAACCGGTCTCCTGAAATAATAAACAAAAATAACCATTTGTGCTAAATGACGCTTAAAAAGACATTGGCGTTGCAAGAGCATAAAATAGACAGAGAGGAATGTGTGAACTTTCTGGTATCAGGAGGACATGAGAGCAACCGGTATGCTTTTCTATTTTTCCGAAACAATTCGATTATGATAATGATTTTCTGCTCCTGATACAATAGAGAAGTTAGCCGCCTCCTTTATGGAATTGTACCCGAGGAGTATGGAACAAGTTTGTTTATTCGTCAACCTGTAGGTATATTATGTTCTCCTGACGCCTTAATTTCTCAGTTTCCATTAAAAAAAAATGCTTTTAAATCTTATCAGGATCGCAAAAACGCAAGAAGATGTACAATTTGTTCACGGACTCATGTATTGTGTTCTCCTGATGCAAACTTGGCGTTTAAAAATTGTATCAGGATCTCATAAGCACACCCGTTTTTCTACTAAAATCTTTCCGCACATTGGGACTCCAGTTTACTTTGATTTTGGGAGAATTTTGGGTGTTGGGAAATCATAAGGCGTAAGTTGGAGCTCTTGTACGTGAGAGGAAGTTATGCAATGGGAAAAACCGATTCTGTACCCTCTGGCATTTCTGTATTCCAGCCATCCAAAAGAAATACTTGTGTTAGAATAGCATAAAACTGAGGAATTGTGTACGGATCAGTTTTTTAATTCTTATGAAATCATTTTTGAAAGAGGATTGTATTAGGAGATCATTAGAAGTTGTCTGTTTGTATTTCTGACGCATAACACGTGTGAATCAATTCTACGTTTTTTTCTACATGATGCTTTTAGAACGACAAGAGCATTAAGGATGGCTTCTAGCGATCCTGTCATCCTGACGCAATAATATCATGGAAATTTGTATTAGGAGAGCATGAAATGTGACAATTTTAACAATTGGTGAAACAAAAAGGTGAAGTGTCTGTGAACACGACAAATAATTTCTTTTTGTGAAGATTTGTAGCATCTAGGGGTAATGTGTGCGTTGTATCAGGAGAGTATGAAGGTTTTAAGTATTTGTCGAAACTATTATATTTTGCAGTTTTGCGTAGAAATTGTTTTTGAATACGATCTCGTATAAATAGCTCTTGTACTTAGGATGCTTTTTTCTCGTATCAGGAGGACGTGAATCCAATGTTCTCGTATTCGTATTTAATGAAACGCGTCAATTATGATCATGTTGGTTGGTGTTTTATGCTCCTGGCACAATCGAAGAGTTACTGATATCGTCAACCTGTATGACGTTCTTTTTTTATAAATTGGATCAGGATCGCAGAAACATAAAAGGTGAAAAATACCCCCCAGGCAAGTATAGTAGTAGGCATCCTAACATTTTGATGATAGGTGTAGAGAAAAAAGCATAGAATCTTTTTTTTTCCATAAGAGGTATTGCGGGGGGGTTTTCTATACCCCCCAAACCTCCTGGTGCTACGTTATCTCACAAAACATACATCCCTAATCGCATAGACGCTTATTGACGCACTTGTATTAGGATTTCATAAGCCTACCCTTTTTTTAAATAAAACTCTGCACGTTGGAGCCATTAAAGTTTTTTTTGTCATTTAATGTCATGTAAATGTTTGATATAAGGAGAACATAAATCGGTGGTAAGTAATGCCTATTCTCTTTGCACTTCTGTTGTGTTGATACATTAATTTACTTTGGGAAGTTGTTGAGGTTACGGCGGTTCATTAGTTTCGAGCGTCATGTTCTCCTGTCCGTCTGAATCATTTTACTGAATTTGCCCTTGCACTTCTGTTATCTTGATAACAATTATGTTGATTTGACCTCTTTTAGTGCCCATCAATCCACTACACCTTATAGTTTTTTTTAAGCTTGTGATCTGACACCATTATTTTACTTCATACAGACATGAAACGATAGTAACTAAGTTGGTCCCTTGAAGGTTTTTACGTGAGGAGGTCTTAAAAGCGAATTGACGCCCGTTAATCCGATTCGATCTTCACTTGCCCCTGTTTGGTGTTCATCAGGCGACCAGGGCTGAGAACTATTTAAGTTTTCGACGCACGTATTTGATACATGCTCCGGACTGCTTAATTTTCTTTGCACTTCTTGATGTGCTCCTGTTCCACCCGAGTAAATAATCCACTTTGTTCGTTTGTGTTAGTGTCTACAAGCACTTGGGGTTTAGGTAATTTATGTATTGAACGTGTAGTGCAATGTACTCGGGGCGCTTGCATTGGTATCAGGAGAACATGGGGCGAATCTGTTTCAGACTCTTTCCTTTTGCGAAATAGTTTCCGGATTGGTTTTGATATCAAGACGTGAATTGTAACCATTTAGCTAGTACTCATTGCCTTTGTCTGCGCTCCTGCTACAATCGGATTTTTGGAAGGCAATGTAGCAGGCGAGTATGAAACATCTCGCGTGGTGCAAATCGAAAGATCACTCGTGTGAGTGCAACTCGTTTACAGAATAAACCGAGCGTTAATCATACCGGATTGATTTAAATAAATACAAGTCGCATTCAATTAAACTCGGATCGCCATAAAACTTTTAGTGGCCGCATTCAATCGCCCACTTAAGCAGGGTTCGCGCGTTTATAATTACCAATCACAAGAAGAAATGTACCGTCCCGTTCAAGCTCTAAAAATTATCGTGTCCTAGAAAACGATAATGAAAATCGGAATAGAATAACTGCTTCCTTTTTTTTTCTAAAACAAACTCCTTCTTGCATTGTGTGTGTGTGTAAGATCGGTTTTATTGCTTCGACGTTTCGCCACGCTTCGTTTGCTTTTAATTATAGAAATTCTCAAGAGCTTTACGTTTCGGTCGCAATCAGAAAAAAAACGGATTATTGGTCGCGTTCGCTCGCTTACCTGGTATCTGTTCAGGATTTTGCTCACGCATCCGTGGGAGACGCGCAGTTGTCGCGAGATGACGCAGGGACGCACTCCGGCCGCGGCCATTTCGACGATTTTCAATCGGATGTGATTCGGCAACGGTCTCCCATTGATAAAGACGCCACCTAATTGATTGACTCGACCTTGTCCTGAAAGAAGAAAAAAAACAAGAGGATAAATTAGGCTCGTCGCGAAGATCGGTAGCATCGTCCCCTCGGGGATGTTTGGGTATCATATTTTACCTGTCAGTTCAGGTAGCAGGTAACGGTATTAAATTACGGAGATAAATCCTTGTCGTGTCGTCTGTTTGGACAGGACATGGACACGCGCTTGAAGCGTATTTAAACTACTTAATTTTACTTGCGCTTAATCGAAAACGCGAACCTGGGCCGAATTCAAGCGTGCCGCCAATTTTTTTTGAAGGTTTTGACAGTATCTCTAATTCATGGAGTTCCAACAAGGCGATTTGAGCAATTACTTTACGCTCATTGTAAGTTAACCTATGGTAGGCTTAGACAAATCCGACGCACTATACTCACCGTGTAACTTAGCGGTTTATTCCGCCATGCCTCATCTTGTGAATAAAGCTCTTAAAAAAAAATCAGTTTTAAAATTTCTGTGTTGGTACCTACTTCAGGCAAGGAGGTTTTAAGCTATCGTGCTTTTAAAAAGCCAGTCTTATAGCACCTTCAAAACTGTTGTTCTAGAGCCAACTTCCAAGAGTCTCTAAAGGTATGCGAGTCTATCACCCTTTAATAGAGGCTTTTCTAGTGTGTTTCATCGTCTTCAAGAAATTTTAGAGAATTTAAACTTTTTAAAATCCCCAAGAGCTTCCTGAGATCAAATTAATTGTCATCAAGGCAAAAGCAAATTAAGTAAATTGTCAAAATGGATGATTTGGGCTAGGGCAACAGGAGAACATGAATCTTGAGATGAGCGAACGGGCGTCGCTTTACGTGTTGTATTCTCTTAACACCAAAAACTTCCTAAAATCAAAATAAACGGGAGCTCCAACGCGCAGAAGTGCACTTATGAGATCCTGATACAATTATTAAATCAGCAAAATGGGGGCGGGTCAACTAATAACGAGAAATTGCATCAGTAGATAGATTCTACACATATTCGTGAATAAATCATACACATTTTTGCGTTTCTGCGATCCCGATAAGAGTTTAAAAATGGTATACGGAGAACAATAAGGTGATAAAATGCTTGTTAATAAATTGTACACATTTTTGCACTTCTGTAATTTCAATAAAATGATACAATTGTATCAGCAAAACATGATAAAGTTGAAGAGTTGACGGATATAAGGAGCTCATAATGCGAAGTTGCACTTACGTGATCCGAAAATGGAAGCTGGTATAAGCAGAATGTCAGAAGGTTTATGCCACCGAATTTGTGCTTCTGCCATCCTGATGCAATTTCTAAAAGAAAAACTTGCATCAGGAGAAAACACTGTATAAGAACGTGAAGATTTAAAAAAAATCGTAACATTTATATTTCTGCGATCCCGATACAAAAACTGACATAGTGACAAGTAAGCAGAAGGACACAATGCCTGAGAATGTGTAAATAAGTAAATTAAGTCTTCTTCCTCTTCTGTGATCATGATACACACTTTTTTTAAAAGAAAGGAGCTCATAATACAGAATGTAAGGCACCGGAAAGTGTATGTTACCGAATTTTACACCTATTTGAGATTTTGTAATCCTGCTACAATTTATAAAAGAGGAGTGTACGTTTTCTGGGATAACGTATATACCTGTGGCTCTGGCAGGTACTTACACTATAATTTTTGGAAAGGGACCATCCACGGAAACACCAGGAATCTCTGGTGTAGGGGCCAGTAAGTTGACGGGCACAACCGTAAGCCATTTGCGCAGTGTATCGGGAGCCCCAATGTGCAGAAAGATTTTATTAGAAAAATGGGTGTGGTTTATGAGACCCTGATAGAATTTTGAACACTTTTTCGAAATGGAAACTGGTATAAGCAGAATGTAGAGCACCAGCAGGTATATGTCACACCTTTTATGTTTCTGTATTCCTGATTCAATTTATAAAAGAGAGCGCGTCATACAGGTTGGCGATATACAGAAACTCCTCGATTGTATCAGGAGCATACAACACCAACCAACATGGTCATAATTGACTCGTTTCATATCAATAGGAATTCAAAACCGAACGTTTGGCTTCATGTCTTCCTGATACCACAAGAAGGCATCCCGAGTGGATTTCCCAATAGATCCTCCCTTGACCAAAAAAAATCACAAACACGCATTAGACGAGAAGAAGAGCAACGAGAAACTTGTACGTTACAATCACATTATCCATGCTGATGACCAGAAACTTCTAAATTGTATTAGCAACGCATAGAAAATTGGTCAGTACACACTTCCAGAACAACGGATTATTTACATCAGAAGACTAGGGATAAAAAGGATGACTTTCTTGATTGTACCAGGAGCGCATGAGAAAAGAAGAATTGGTTTACACGTTTTGTGCGCCAAAAGATAAGAACAGACTACTTCTTATGATCTCCTAATACATTTAGTTGATCTTTTAAGAAGGTGAAAGATTTTATTAGAAAAATGGGTGTGGTTTATGAGATCCTGATAGAAGTTTTAAAAGGCAGAATTTGCCTCAGGAGAGCACAATACGTGAGCCTCTGAATAAATTTTACTACTTCTTGCGTTTTTGCGATCCTGATAAGATTTTGAATACTTTTTCGAAATGGAAACTGGTATAAGCAGAATGTAAAGCGCCAGAAGGTGTAAGTCACCGAATTTTACACCTTTTATGTTTTTGTATTCCTGATTCAATTTATAAAAGAGAGAACGTCATACAGGTTGGCGATATACAGAAACTCCTCGATTGTATCAGGAGTATACGACACCAAACAACATGATCATAATTGACTCGTTTCATAACAATAGGAATGGAATACAGAAAGTTTGTCTTCATGTCCTCCTGATACCACAAAAAAGCATCCCGAGTGCATTTCCCAATAGATCCTCCCTTGACCCACAAAAATCACAAACACGCGAAGAAGAAGAGAAATGAGAAACTTGACGTTAAAATCAGATTATCCATGCTGATGACCAGAAACCTCTAGATTGTATTAGGAACGCATAGAAAATTGGTCAGTACACACTTCCAGAACAACGGGTTATTTACATCAGAAGACTAGGGATCAAAATAAAGGATGACTTTCTTGATTGTACCAGGAGCGCATGGGAAAAGAAGGGTTTACACGTTTTGTGCGCCAAAAATATGAACAGACTACTTCTTATGATCTCCTAATACAAGTTTATCTTTTAAAAATTAGTTTGCAAGAATCAAAATCACTTCTCTGATTTATGCTCATTTAGCACAATGTATGTATTATTGCAAGTTGCATGTCAGGAATACAGAAATGCCAGAAGGTGTAGAATCGGCTTATCAACTTTTTCACATTGAATGCTTTCCTACTAGAACTTCTTCCGACGTATATTTGGTGCAAACTGAATTAAAGAGCTCCAATTTACGTCTTATGATCTCCTAACAAAACGGGAGCTCCAATGTGCAGAAAGATTTTGTTAGAAAAATGGGTGTGGTTTATGAGATCCTGATAAAATTTTAGAGGCCAAGTTTGCTTCCGGAGAGCACAACACGTGAGCCTCTGAATAAATTTTACTACTTCTTGCGTTTTTGCGATCCTGATAAGATTTTGAACACTTTTTTTTCGAAATGGAACAGACACGTTTTTAATTTAAAAATCATTGTAAAAAGATCACGGAAGTGCAAGAAAGTGTTCACAGGTTGTTATTCTAATGCAAGTTGCTATTATATTATTGTGTCGCGATGACAGGATCGCTGGAAGATGTGGAAGCTATCCTTTATGCTCTTTGTCGTTTTGTGCCCCAGTATTAAGAACAGACAACTCCTTATGATCTCCTAACACAAGTATATCTTTTAAAAATTGGTTTATAAGAATCAAAATAACTTCTCTGTTTTATCACAATCTATGTATTTACAAGTTGCATGTCAGGAATACAGAAATGCCAGAAGGGGTAGAATCGGCTTAAAGCAACTCTTTCCTAGCTCCGACGTACACAAACAGTGTATTTTGAGCAAAATGAATTAAAGGGCTCCAATTTACGTCTTATGATCTCCTAGCACCATTCCCAAAATCAAACTAAACGGGAGCGCCAATGTGCAGAAAGATTTTATTAGAAAAGCTGGTGTGGTTTATGAGATCCTGCTACAGCTTTTAAACATGATAAGATTTAAAACTATGGTATACGAAACACTTAATACGTGAGACAGTGTCTGTTTATAAATTGTTTTACATGTTTTTTTTAAAAAAAGAAACATATCAGGAGATCATAATAGGACAGAAAGAATTTATCTTAGTTAATTACACTTAAGATTTAAAACTATGGTATACGAAACACTTAATACGTGAGACAGTGTCTGTTTATAAATTGTTTTACATGTTTTTTTTAAAAAAAGAAACATATCAGGAGATCATAATAGGACAGAAAGAATTTATCTTAGTTAATTACACTTACTTATGTGATCCTTATGAAATACGTTCAGTTAGTACCTAAAACTTTCCCATGGTTCTCTCTGAATGGATTTTTAGCGCTTTTTTGATTCTCAAAGAGGAGCTTTTATGAAAACGGAATATCTTAGGACATTCGGGTTTTCGGCAACATATTCGTACTATTGTGTTATTTCTGCATCGCTTAGTCTGAAAGCTAAAATCCATTCCTGAAGCTGTTAATTTATGAATATTCTTGAAATGCGGGCGATTTAGGATTTTTTTGGTGGGCACGGGCACGGTTTGCCAGAACGTTATGATCCGATAGTAATGGCCATTGAACATTCGGGAATAAAAATCACCACGGAAGCAATCAACAGAAAATTACTCAATGATTTGAAAGCTACTGATTTGCCACATCAAAAATGGTTGAAGTCTACTTTTTACCTTGTTTTTTTGAGACTTTTCTTTGTATTGAGGAAATTCGGTAGTACACTCGTTAAGTTTTCATGTTTTTCTTATTCCTGGTAATTTAATCTAGTTTTTTGATTTTGATCTGACCTCTTCTTCGTGTTCGGTCTTGTCTACATTTACAAAATGTTTGCAACCGCCTGTAGGACCTCG